TGACTTTAGAGAACACAGAGTATTCTAAAAAGCACCACAACAACCTGGTCAAAAACTAATATATCAGGTAGCAGATATGTATCAGATATGTACCTAGTAAAAATGCAGAAAATTGGGTACCTGATATGTGTAAAATATGTGTAAATATATATATCATATACATATCGGATACTAGAGATGGTAAAGTTCTAGGTCTTGGACCTAAAGACCTGGTCCTAGGACAGTATAGCGAACATCCCTTATATTGTCACATTATTGCTGATCATTTGCCGATTATTTATTAATCATCTTTTCAATATTGTTACATAAAAAAAATACTATCTGATTAATATATAAAGCTGAAATGATGTTTGATTTGACAATTTTGAAGGTAAAATTGATCAATATTAACAGAAATTATATCAATACATGTAAATTTTTATAATTAATAAATAAAATGAAAATTCAAATTTTATAATCTTGAGATCCAGTGAACATATTCTAATGAATTATATACTATTAGATTGGTCTCAGTGAAAGGATTCGAATGGTAGTAAAATTATTACCATCAGATTCATATTGGCGAAGTTATTGCATTTTAAAATTTTGTACTAAATTAAATAGTAATATTATTAGTATTAATAATTGCAAATATTAATTTGGCTATAACTTTGTATTACCTAAAATTATGCTGTGTTATTTCGGCCATTAATTTTAAAGACATTAATCTATAACTCATAAAAATTTCAAGTTTCACCTGAACTTCTGTAGCTTTGCCCGAAGCTTCAAAGTTTGATTAGAAAATAATCAGCATATATTAATTAACTTTAGCATTACATTTTATTTTAGCACAAAATTTTTATATTAAACTGTTAATACTTAAAACTATTAAATAAAATAATTTAATGTGATTTTTTTTACATATTTATGGTTTAAAATAATGCTTCAAAGTTAATGTGATGTCACATATATTATGATTGGCAAATGATCAGCATGTGATAATAAGCATGTTCGCTATGCTTCCTAAAACAGCATAGCAGACATTTCTATTTTATCATAATTTTGTTGATCATTTGTCAATCATTTGTGTGATCTTATCACATAATACAAGTGCCATCTGTTATTTATCAACAGATAATAGGAAAAAATTTTATAAAATAAATAATTTACTTTTATATTTTCAAAATCTAAATAAAAAGATTTTGTTCTTTTATTAAAAGTCCATTAATAACAAATAATTAGCTAAATTCTCTATAAGCAAAAAACCTGTATTATAGGCCAAAATCCTGTATTATTTTTTTTGTAAATTATATATGATAAAAAGAATGTTTATGCAAAGTTTTAAGTTTCGGCCTTGCATATTCAGTTCTGGCCATCAATTTTTGTCTGGTGATCAGCCAAAATCACTGGCCAAAATTGATGCTATCATCGGGAAATTTTTTAAGATGCAGAACTGCGGAGATCTGTAAAATTAGCAGATCTCCGCATTTTTTTTGTGAATTTATGCGGAAGTCTGCGATTTTGCAGATTTCTGCTTTTTATTTTTTACAAAGTTATGCAATAATCTGCAATTTTGCAAGTTTCCGATTTTTTATGTATGCATTTCTGCGGTAATCTGCGATTTTGCAGATTTC